CTTCTTCCCTTTCTCAAAATCATTTTCTTCTGGGGAATACTCTCAAAAACCTGTGATTAAATGCACTCTACTGCCTAGTTATGATGATGTTCACAAGTAACACTGGTTGTAGGAGTGAGACAAAATCTGTGGTCCACCAAAAAATTCAGCTGCTGTTGATTTCTTAGAGGCAGTGAACTCAGATGTTAACAAACATTTCCAAAGGTCATTAAGGTACTACAAAAAATGCTCAGGAGGTGAAGACTGAAGACTTTCTTTTTAAACAGGTTGTTTTTCAAAAATACATTTTAGAACCTGCATTTCTGTACTTTTTTTCTTCAATTTTGCACTATTCTGACTTTAACTGAGGCATAAAACTACATATATGTGCAGTCAACTTCCTTCCCATACCTTTAATTTTTTAACATACTACCTGAAGTATTGTTATATGATTTGATAGGCAATGCTCTGATTTGTACTGGTTTTTTTTCTACCGTGTTACCTGAAAACCTGATTATCTACAGAAGTCAGTTCCACTACCATAGGGCCTTGGAATATGATTGGACTTTAAATTTTAGTAGGGTAAGCTACTTGCAAATGAGCTCTTGAATATACACTTTCTACCTTGGATATGACTAAGTAGAAGAATGAATTGTTTTGAATCACAGGACGCCTTTGTTGTCAGATGCCAGGCCAAGCAGTGGGCTCTGTTACTTTTACAGGGCACTAGACTTTTAGGGACATTAATTAGGTCATACTCACACAGATAGTAGCACCAAATAAAACTGAAATAGAAGGTAACAGAGGGAGGATAAAATCTGAGCAGTCAGAAACATCAAATTACTTCTCCCTGCCCATTCACAGCTTTCTCGTGACCCCACTGGAGTCAGTGGGAGCTTTGCCAATTAATTTCAATAGGAGGAGAATCTGGGTTGGATTGAGGTTTCCTGATTCTGCCCACAGCAAGACAGATGCATTCCAGACCACTCTTAGGAAGGGGGAAAAAAAACCAGGCCAAATTCACAGTAACTGTGGCAACAGGAGAGATGGTTCTCTTTGGTATCATGTAATTTTGAAATTCAGTAGCTGCTTTGTGCCATGACATGTGTTTCTCCCCTCTGTCAAATTAATGTTTTCTTCCCATGTAGAAGGCCCGTCAGGGAAAGAGCACAGATGAAAATCATCAACACAAACAGCCCCCAGAAGCCTTTTCACATTTCCCACCTCACATCTGTCATAATGGCAAAATCATGTTTGCAAACAACATGAAAAAACTGCCTTACACATGGTACTTCCCCAAAACACAGAGAATTAATGCAGCCTGTTCTGTGAATGTCTCTCAATCCGTGTGAGTGATGACTGGTAAAAAAACTACCTTAGCAGAATGCCAAGACCTCTGCTATGGAGAGCAACTGCTAAAGGATGCACAGATTGTCCAACTCTGGCTGCAGTTGTTTTCCTTTCTTACCCTTTTTCTCACTAAGGTTCTCACTGTTGTAGTCCTTGGACTTGATCATTTCATTAGGAGTGTAAACACTGAATGAGACTTAGGGTAAGGTTTGACAGGTTCAGGAAAGCAGCAGAATATAAAAAAGATAAGTCAGTGATGCCCTAAGGACTGTCATAGGCAGTCAAACCTAAAAGGGAGGCAAGCAAATTTCTCTTCCCTTCCACCTTGTGTTCTCTGTTTTACAGGAGGCAGTTCCCATGCTGACAAGCAGGCAGCACTCTCTACGAAGTAAGAAGACAGCAAAACCTGCCTCTGCAGCTGCCAAGGACAGAGAAGAGACTGGAAACATATGTTCTCTGTGTTTGGAAAGCTTCAGTTTAGGTAGACTACCTGGGTCAGGGCCCAGATGGTGTAAACTGCTGAATCTCAGAGCTTAGGTTAGCTGAGACGCTGGTTTAATAAGTATATTTTAATTAAACTTCGGAGCTATTCTGACATTCTTCATTAACTCCCCACAAGCCTCCAAACAACCTCCAGGGGAAAACCAAAGAAGCAGAAACTGATGTGACTTCTTCAAAGTAACCGTGTGAGTCACTGTCAGAGTTCAGGCAGGAGCACATCTCCTGAGCATCAGAACAATAGAACTGATGCAAAGGCCACCTCTGAAGTTTACTGAGCTAAGACAGCAGCTTAAGGAGGCCTGAACTGCCCTGTGCATTTCAGTGAATTCTTATCTGAAAAGTCTCAGGGCTGATACCTTTAAAGCCAACATTAATTAATCACTGAATGAAGTGTGCTGGAAGGGGCAGAAACACTCATCTGTGGAGTTCAGGACGTTGTAGGAGAGATGGAAAGCAGTGAGCTTTGGAGAGCACTTGAACGAAAAGCACACTGAAGGTGCATATGAGGCAACTGAGATAAACACAAAAAGACAAGGAAGAGATTGGAATCTTGGTGATGCAATCTTGGACTGCTAGTAGGTGGGATTCAAATGTCTTGGGAGCACTCAAGCCAAAGGGATTCCTGAGGGAATTTACAACTGTGCCATCTGTCCCTTACAGTTGGAGCTCATTTTGTAGATGGTTTTTGGAAGAGAATTAATACCATGTTTCTCCCTCAGATTAACCCTACTGGTGATTGACTGCTGGCATGAATGCCAAAACATTCAACACAGTAGCTAACACACCAGGAAAACCCACCCCAAACAAAACACCCTGTCACTTACTCACAGTACCTTTTCTGTGGTATTATCTTAAGCTGAAGCCATTAGGGAAAGAGTCTCTATTTCTCAGTTTTTCTGACTCAGTGTTCTTTCAACCCAATTTCTAGCAGATCTATCAAGCCCCAAGAGCAGTACAGCTGCAATGTGACTCAGCTTCAGGACAGCAGACAGGCCTTGTCAGAGCTGGTTAGTAAACTGGTCTGCAGAACCTGAGTGGGTTGAGATGGTTCAGAGACACACAGTAGTTACACAGTCAGAAGAGCCTGTGGTGGGGAGGCCAAGTTACAGCACTGGATAGTACACCAAGGCTAGAAGGAGGATTGATTTGGTGTTCAAAGATGCAGGCCACAGGCACTAAGAACAGTGCCTGCTCTAAACATATATCAGAGGAATAGGCAAATAAATTTCACAGTGACCTGTTTGCTTGGTCTCTGCCATTCTCTCCTGCTGAAACTTTTGTTAGCATGACCACTGTCCCCAGAACATGGCCAAAATCAGTCCACAGCCTTCTCCTGTACAAAGGTGTAATTCTACTGCTTAGTGCTAGGCGCTGCAGACTGCAGGTGTTTTTTTCCAAGCCTGGTCTGCATGTAACAAAACTGGATAATGTAACCAAAAGCCACAATGTCACAGAGAATGTGCTGTGTACAAGGGTCTTGTCAACAACCACTGCCCTTAGACCTGACACTTGGAACCAACGGCATTGTAGACTTTGCACTCAGTAGTAGTTTGGAAAAGAAATGGGTAACAAGTTAGTTTGCTAATAATAGGTAATTCAATAATTAATAGCCAACCATGAAAGATTCTAGACAGCTTGTAAGATGAAAGGGGACTAATTTTTATAAATCATGCCTTACAAGCCTCACCTTATTAAACTGAACAGGAAGAACTGAAAGCAAGCTGGAGATGCACTATTTTCCAGTTCTTAATATCACCACCCATAAAAGGAGCTTGTAAGCTCAAATATGGATTGACTGCACTCAACAGCACGTGCAATGAATCTACATCTGACATATCCATGTATTGTATGCCACAGAGCAGCAAATTTTTGGCTATGAATAATAAATTCATTTCTGAATGATTGCTGAGTTTAAATTGTGAAAGTAAGCTGTATGACCTATGAAGACAGCAGCATAACAATCAAAATAGCCTGATTTGGGGACAGTCTGAGCAAGTTATCACAGTGACTCCTTCAAGTCCAGATACCTAAGTATCATGGGTATAACCTGATATTAATGACCTCACTTTTTTTTTTCCCCCCCCTGAAAGAATTTAAGTATTCTGGCAACAATAGCGCTCATTCCCCAAAAGATCATTAACGTCTGATTAAATCTTGTTAAAGCAAGAAAGGCACAGCTTTCCCATGTCCAATCTTCCTATTACTAGAATATATGTTTTTGATTGGATCATCCTATGGATTTTGGTAGTTTGGTAGGAAGGATGATCTCCAGGGAAGTGTTTCATGTCTTCCCTACCAAAATCAAACTAAGAAAATGCACATTCCTGCAATGAAAGCTAAGAGCAGAGCCAGAGTCCATTCACTGTGTAAAGGTTCCAAGCCTGACATTTCCCAAGTGCACAACCAGCGATGATAACTGCTAATTGTTTCTGAAGTGTTATGGAGCCTGTACTGGTAAAAGAGAAGGTGGAAGGAGAAGATTCAATAAAGGTAATTCAATGAAGAAAGCACTGCTTTCTTCAAGCCCTCCCTTCTTCAGGATTTCTAATAAGAAGAGATTGTTGGTGAATTTTCACCTCATACAAACATCTTGTCAACTCCAGAACAGAAGGATAACACCCTAACAAGAAATGTCTGAGAGCTTAAATCCAGCCTGGAAAAAGCAAACACAAATCCACTGATTTCAGTAGAGATACAGATGGCCCACTTAATGTACAACAGGGTTGATTAGGCCCTTCTCCCACACTGTAGCACTATTTTGCCTCAGAAACCTTTGCTTTCTAAGTACCAACCATTTGTAAACAGCCTGTAGCATTGAACTGCAATTAAATACAGGAATGGGAAACACAAGTATATTTTAAAACATTTCTCAGTAGCGAAATTTAAGAGCAAGCATTGACCCATTTTTCTGTTTAACGTCAGGACCTTATGTCAATATCACAGGCAAAACACCAAGGATCTGCAGAATCTCAGTTATTGCACACATATTTCTGCTTCCCACAGTTTCCTACGGGCATTAAACTGGAATCATGTATAAGCACAGTGCATGTCTCAGGAAGAACTTGTTCTTCCTTTTAAGCCATCTCAGCACTACAGCAGGTGGGCACAGGCTCTCTTGCTAAAAGCACAGAGAGAGAGAGGAGAGAAAGAGAGAGAAGAAAGTTGCTTACTGTTTCGAGGCTTCTCCTCATCCATGCCTTCATCTTCATTTTCTGGATCAATATCTTCCGCTTGAGTTATCCAGTCCAAGTATCCCTTCAGATCCTCCTCTAGCTGTTGTTTTTCCCGTAACTTCTGGAAATCACCTCGAGCCTTAGCCTTCTCTCTTTCTTTGGAAAACTCCCTAGCAAGAGGGAGGGAGGGAGGGGACATGGGTGGAGGGAAGGAAGACATGGAAAAACAATGGGTTAGATTGATTTCCACTAGAAAGTCTCCTCAGCCTGTGTAGCACACCCAGCTTTCTCTACTCTTTCAAGACAGACACATGAATGGACCATCCCTTCTAGATACACATGTAAAACAGCTGGAGTGTCCACATACTTAGGAAAAGATTAATACCTGGTTTTAATCCTTTAATTCTCAACGTTTGACTGACTATTCAAATAAAACACATAGGTAACATTTCTGTGCAATTTTCTGTACAGTGCCATACACTTTCTAACATTCTTTACCACTTGATATTCTCTAACAGTTATCCATAAATATCTATATGAATAATGGTTAATGATGAACTGTTTGACAATAATCTGACATCTGGAGAGTGAGATGGTGGCTTTAATTTTTAGCCAGGTTTCAATCTGTCTTTAAAATTACATGTGTAATCACAACTAAATTGGGTTAAGTGTAATTAATGGTACTCACAATTTTGTACACATTTAATTATGGTCAATTTCACCCACAGTGCAGGAAAATATATTTAAAAACTCGGACCTCAATGTTTTACTGCAGACTTTCAGTATTCAAGCCTGTTATCTGACACAAAATATATTTTTCAAATACAAGTTGTGTGAACAAACACAATAAATTATGGGTAGAAAAAATCTAATGGATTCTGCCAGAAAGTGAAAAGAGTAGACATTTGATGACAGTTTTATGAAAGAACCCTATTGGGAATATAGACTGAAAACAGAGGGCTTAGGAACAAGAATTTCATGTTGCTTAGTTATGATTCTGAGCGCTTTGCCTTCTTTTTGGCTGTGGTTCTGTCTTCCCCTCTTTCAGAGACACCTATACAGCAATATTTTTTTTCGGGAAACGCTGACCTATCTCTATTTACAGACTCTCATGTGGTTCTAAACCAGGTTTTAGCACTTGTATTTCAAAAAGTAAGCTTAATGATTGTGAAAATTGCTGGACCAAGAGTACCTAAGCATTAATGTAGCAGATTGCTACATAACACACACACAGCAGATAATACAGTCCACTCTGTAACAGTAAAGCCATTCTCTCCAATTCATTCTCCATTACTGTTGCTGATGAATGTCAACAAGGAGTGGATTTAAAAAAAAAAAATCCTACTCCACCTGGGATCTGCTTTATTTTTGCTCCTGCAAAAATAAATAGGAAACCTAACACTAATTTTGATGGTATAATATTAGGATTATGAAAATCCTACCCTAAATGTGAGTGAATGCCATGTGACTGCTCCTTAGGTAGCTGAGATGGAGGTTGGTTTCTAACAGTGGTGGTGAAGTACTTTCCTCCTGTCTGGTCCAAAACTCACTCAAAGATTTCTGTGGACTTCAACAGGTTTTGGATCAGGCTTTCAATCATATGAGCTGCGCAAAAACCAGCACTGCAGCAGAATCAAAGTAGGATGGTCCCTTAATTTCAAGCCAAAGTATCTGACAAAGCATGTGCCTCTGTCACACTGCTGAGGATTTAGCCTCTCCCCTGGGGCTGTGATGATGAAGGTGGAAAAGAGTAAGGGAAACGCTGAAGGGAGATCACAGTCAACCCTGGCTCCAAAGTCAGCCTCAAGGCATGGAAAAAATGAAAAAACGGAAATTTTGTCATACTGGGAGTGATATTTTGCTATTTACAATGTAAAACAAATAATCCCCAATAATAATAATAAAAACTGTACAAAGAATTTTCAAAAAATCAATCAATAGTATTTATATTTTCTGCTTCAGTAACACCTTTCCACTGGGTCTGATAAGTGCCTCATCCAAATTAATGAATTAAATATGAAAAAAAAAATCACTTAATAAATCTATGTATTATTAAGCCTGTTTGATAAAACAAATTTCAATTGTTAGCTCCAAAACTGTTATTTTAGAATCTAAAACAAATGGGTCCAATTTTTAAACAGACTGAGCCCTGAACTCCAGGTGAGAACTATTTATATTTGTATGGATATAAACTGAAAGGGGCTGCTTTAGAAACCAAAGTGGCAAAAATTACTAAACAGCCCAGGTTTCAGAAGTGAAATTCCTACTGTGCACTGAAGTGGATAATTTATGTCCAGTGTCTCTAAGCTGCATGTCTGCTCGGGTCCTTTCAGTCCACACTTACTGTCCCCCTCAATGGGGCTGTGGGGAGACTAAAGCAGTGCGAAATTTTAACAGGATGTCTTTACGGTAACCATCAGCAGAGGAGTGAATTTTAACTAGAGTTTTACAGCACAGTGGGAAACACAGCGATTGCCTGGTCTAAACAATCTGCAATTGCCTGTCTCCTTCCTTTGTGCAGTGTATGGTACTCCACATCTCAGACGACTCTCCAAAGAAGACAACCTATTTAAATTGTCTTCATTTCTATGCTCCACTAACATTAGACCACTGGGAACAGGTGGTTCAGGAAATTGCAACTGCAATTCAAACCACCTCCCACGTGGAACGTGAGCCTGTACTTGGGCAGATGTAGTTCACCATCAAGAATTGCTGTGAATGATCATTTACCATCCCATGGGAAATGAGCCTGTGAACTCAGTCCGGTGCCTGTTGCAGGCAGGTGGGCACATTTCTTCTGACACCATCACAGCTCACAAAAAAGGGTCATTGTTTGCATTTTCAGCAGGGAGGCCAAGGACCAAATAAGCTTTCTGACGGAAATGCCATCTTGAGTCTGGAGGTGGTCTTGTCAAAAAAAGACTGCACTATCGTGTCAGGGTAAGGTTAACAAAGGTTTGCAGAACTGTCAAGCAATCTGTCCATTTTCAGTGAGCCCCAGAACATCAGTATAAGAGTTGGTGAGCTCTGGTTGTTTTCACAAGAATTCCGTTTCCTTCACTTTCCTTTTTCCAGAAAATTATAAGTTTTGTCTGCCAATGGGAATACAAAATAGCAGAGTATTCTGGAGAGATGTTTTCTGTCTGTGAGGTTACAGTGGATCAAAATCCATAAATATAAACACCCAGCTCTGCATCCTGTGCTGTATCAGAAGAAAACTTTTCTTTCCCACCCTGGTGATGGAATATAGGTAATTCTTGCCTATATCTGATCTCAAGATGACTTCTCACATGTAGAGGAAATGGACAGTAAGAAAAAACAGCAGAATGCTAGCACTTCAAAGCTCTTGCTTACTACTAAAAGTGGAGCACAAGCCTTCAAATCTCATCCACCCTAAGAAGTACACCAAGGAATGGGAAGAGTTGGAAGAGGGGACAGAAGACTAGAAAAAAAAAATCCTGAAAGGTGACAAAAACTTCTCAGGGAGGAGTTACAACCATAACCAGCCTCCCATTCACTCCAATCTCTTTCTTGGCAGTAAAATCACCACAAGCAGCCAACTGGGTTTTGCAGGATCCTCTCAAAGTGGAAAAAATGGCTGTTTCTCCTTGCCCTCCATTTGCTTTAGGCAACTGCTTGTTTGGCCTGTGTCCTGGGATTTGGTTCACTGTTAGGTAAAATATAAAGGGAATGTGAATCTAGGTGCCTCAGCATGCATGTCTGAAGGTTGACCCCACACTGCCAATTTTTTTTCCTCACTAATTAACTGAAACAGGTAACACAGATGTGAACATCCCTGATCTCAAGCAAATTCTAATCACTGCTCACAGCAGTGATGTGGAATTGTTTTGCCTGGGCTTGAGGAAGTCTTCTGTGTGATCTGCTGATGGGATATTTCCTTTGGAATACATGAATTTTATATTGTGCTCAGTCAAGACAGGAAGAGATTACAACTCTCTCTATAAATACTCTGACACGCTATTCAGCTTAGCATGAGACTAGTAAATTCACCAGAAGGACCATGAATGGTTGACGTACCTGAGGAAAAACAAATTACAGATGAGCTCTTTAGGCAGAGCAGAACTCAGCATTTGATTTTGCAGGTGCAATCAAGATGTCTTTGTGAGTACAATTAATTACACTTATGTATTCAGAAGTGATTAAAAAAACCCCTAAGCTAATCTGTCATTGACAAAGTCTACCTACACAACATGCTTGCTCAAGCTCCTGAAATAGATAAATGGGAAGAAATCAGAGATGCCCAGAATGGATATTCAAAGATAACCAGGAATGCTGCTTTGTATCTACATAGGACAGACAGGTGGATCATCTACATAGATCAGGCTAATAGCAACACTCTAGGTAAAAAAAAAAAAAAAAGCTGAATTTGCAAAGTGAAGACACTTTGTAACTCAGCAGAATTTAGAACTGCTTATTTAGCCCAAAGAAAATTTGGAACATTTCTTCCATAATTTCTGTGTTTTTTCATGGTTGCAAATTCTTAAGTTTCTTTTTACTTTTCTCCAGTTGGGGAAATTTCTGCAGAAACAGTGCAGCTGTCATAACACTGTGAAGACAGCCAGAAAGAGTGACTCACAGCTTAAACAAGGTGAACTTCATCTTCGATTTCAGTTCCCTCTACAGACTGTTTCCATCTCTTTCCACTAAGCTGTGGTGTTCTACCTGTGTTATGTCAGGAGGCAGAAGATTTAGGCCCCAAAACACTTTCTTGAGTTGACAATGAAAGGGAGAGGAAATTCAATTTTTAATTATATAGAGATAAAAATCCAAGTATAGGTAAATTGAATCAGCAGTGCTTCAACAGTATGCACTCCTCATGGCTGGGCTCACCGGCACTGTTTATCCAGTCAGAGACCATATAATCTTTAACAACTGTCCTATATGGTCCTTGAGGGCACCTCTTATAGACCAGATCACTTCCCCTCTGTCAGCTGGTCATCATCCTCCACTACTGCTGATATCCTTACCTGCTGGTCAGAGTACCCACCTGGAGAAAGGAGGAGCATATGGTTTAGAATTGTACCCCGAGTATCACTCTCCAGATATCCAAACACAGACTATTGCCTGACACTTCATTACTGGGGATTTTTCCCCCCACTCCCATTACTGCTTGGAAACCCTTCTTTTTGCAGCAGCTGTCTTAGCAGCACATCTCCTCCAGTGGAGTAATGAAGATTGTAATAATACCTCCTGCTGAACTTCTGTTACCGGTCTCTTTGCCAGATGGCCAGTGGTGGATCTTTTTCTCTGGTCCCTCTACTGGCCTTTCTATGTTGTTGGCCCAAGTACTGAGGACAGTATTTCTGTGAGGCATCAAGTCCTCTCTCCTGCTCAGAGATAATTTTCCCTCTCTTATGACCACAAGACTTCAGGGCTGCCCACTCAGGCAACAGGTACAGGCCCTGAGCAGATTCATTTAGAGCTCATCAAAGGAGGTAATAAGTTAGAAACAAAGCAAAAGAGGATGCATTGGAGTCCTCATGCCATATTTATCCACATACAAAGAATGGCTGTAATCACCCAGTCATGCCCAAATATGGAATCAGAAGCCTAATCCTAGGAGATCTTTTTTTTTTTAGAATCTTGCCAGGAATGTTTGCTGGCTTGATTCCTCTAATTATGTGGCTCCCCAGGACAGTAAAGTTTTTCACTACTGGGGACAATACCCATTGTTTTTAATCAGAGCTCCTAAAATGATGTTTTGCAGTGAGGGTTATACTGCAGAACTGAAATACAGAAAAATGTCTGCACGTCTTAAGAATGCTTAAACACTAGAAGGACCTCTCTTGCTTCTCTGTTCATCTTTAGGAAAGGTCAGAGGGAAATGATCTTTTCTCTCTGCACCATGCCAGGCTCGTAATCTGCACAATAGAGAAGATGGGCTTACTGAAGAGGAAACGTGCCCAAGACTCTCTCCAGGGAAAATAGTCTCCTGTTAGGCTGTGTGTTACTTACATTCAGCAATGTGAAAATTTCTCCTGTGAGAAGACATAATTTGGCAGGAGTCTCATCCTACACATGTGGAGGGATTTGTCTCGTGCTCTCATTCTTCCTTCAATCCTATTGACTCTTCCAGAAATTTTACTACAATCCCCTTCTTCTATGGCCAATGGATTGCTTTGCCCACAGGAGAACATAGTGCTGTCCTCTTCCCACAGAGTACAGGCAGAGGAACTTGTTACAGGCAAAGAATTGTCTTATATGCCTTGGATTTACTCAAAAGACTCGCTCTATGATATTAGGAATGCCATATTTTGCTATTGGCACAGCAATAGCATAGGCCTTCTCTTAAGGTTCTTGAGATCAACCCGCCACTGACTGTTGTTTTGGAAACCAGAGAGTAGGAATAGAAATACAAATTTTAAAAAATAAACAATAATAAAACATTTTCCTGGTACTGCTTACCCGCTAAGTACACCGAGAACCAAGTTAAGTACAAAAAATGACCCTATGATGATTAGTGTAACAAAATAGATCCAGGGCCAGTCCCTTCCTATGGCATCATTGACCTGGAAGAGTGGAATGATAATTAGTGAGACAAGCTCAGATTCTGAGCACTGCAAGGCTCCAGCCAAAGAGATCCCAAGTCACCAGCAGTAATATTTTTCAATAGCCAGTTTTCTGAAAATTTAGGACAGGTTGACAATAGTGATTTTGAATGCCCTGAGGTTGAATTTCTTTGTCAGAGAATAACACCGCTTTTGTTACCTGTATTGTTATTTACAATACTTGAACATTTTGTCAAAGTATTTCAGAGCTGATGTGAAGCTTCCTTGAATTCAGATTTTTAATCCCTCTGAAAGTATCCTGGTGACAGGGAAGAACCCTTATTATGGAGTCTTGCCCTGTAGCATTGGAAAAAGGACACCAAAACTGTCAGCTTACCCGCTCAACACACCAAGAACCAGATTTAGAACGAAAAAGGATCCAAAGATGACCAGACTGACAAAATACACCCATGGTAACTCATAGCCCATAGCGTCCTGCATCTGGAAAGACGAAGGAAAGTTAGAAGACAGAGAGGGAAAGCAGAAATGATTAGGCAAAGGAACAGATGGAAAGGTTTGTAAACAGAGCCTGTGGTTGGTTTACACATAATCATAGCAAGTGTTTCTGTCTGTTCTTTCTTATGTGACCGCTCCTTTGACTGTTCTTTTGATCTGTTTTCTTACAGTCATTGATTAATACAGGCTAAGATATAACCACGTGCCTACTGGCACTTCTTTAGATGCTCAAAGTTGTGGACTGTTACTTTTTAGAGTTTACTTACAGTACCACGACAGGTCCACCTCATGACCTCTAGACTTCTACTCCCTACACACACACACGACCCTCTGCTGCCAGTGAAAATGTTGCTCCTTTTTGCTAAGCGTTGCCACAGTGTGTTGCCAGATCACGCTCACTCCCCACGTGTAGCACAAGTACAGGTACCTCAGAGAGGAGCACGTGGGAACTGTGGCCAAATACTGACCTGTCCCTGGCAATGCTCGGGTAATTTTCCCAGTTTACCACAGTGAGGGCAGTGGCTTTGTACATTCGAGGAAAGTTGTTTCAAGGCCCAGTGTGGTCAAGTGTTTTCTAAAGTTTCCTCACGAACTTCCTTTCTCTGCTTGAAGGATGAATCACTTATGAAAATGCGATTCCTACGCAACTGAATAGCAAGAGAATTTGAGACTGTAAACTAAATGATCTCACACTACTACAGGCATCTGCAAACAAAGCAGGCAGACTATTGTTTTAGCACCAGAACCGGTATTATGTGTGGTTTAACCCCAGCACATAATAAGATCTTGCATATATTCTTAAAGCATATAATACATAAACACTATTCTATCTTGAAGTCTCCTTCCAAGTTGAAAATTTTGGAAAGTTGCTGGATACCTTAATAGAATCTCACTTTCATGATGGTATCAAAAAAACCAGAGTCTCTTCTTTACTGTTCATAAACACTTATCTTTGGAGCCAGACGTAGCATCATTAAAGAAACAGATGGTGGTTAACATTTTCAGGAGCACTAAATTGATTTATGAACATAAATTGCAAACTTGAAAGTACCTAAAGGCGTAAAGCAACCTACGTTCCTTTGTTTTCCACTCTTTTGAAAATTTTTTTGTATGTTGTCTTTTTCTTTCCAGGAAAATGCTTTTTCCTTTGCAACCTAAACGTTTGCTGGGATCACAAAAAAAATATTCTTCCATACATGGGCACTGAGACACACTTCAGGAGAGGGGATCTGACTCAAGATTTGTAACAACTCAGAAAATGAATTTCAAACCTTCACTAAGGCAAGGCAGGAGAGAGAACACTAATATAATCAGTTCTTTGTGGATGGAAGTCCATTATCCATTTTTCTTCCAAAGCAGAGTCACTAAAGTCCTTGTCTGGCAATAGTCCACAGTCAATGGGCCGATCCAGAACTCCATCTCAAGGCTCCTTCAGCTGTGACTGAACTGAAGTAGACTCATTAAAAAATAAGCTCAAAATCTCCCTCTGTGAAAACAGTTCACCAGCTCCTTCCTCACAGGATGAATACATTTGGTGGTCAGAAGAGAGTACCTGAACCTCTAACATCCCCTAACTGTATTAAACAGCTTGTCTTTTGTAGTTTTGTAGAATTTTTCAGTTAGTTTATAAATCATACCAATTATTCGTTATGTTTGCGAGCCACATTTCATCCCACATGACCAAAAAGCAGACACCTCTGGTGTATACTACACATCAGTGCTTTAACGAGAACAAAACATCGTGCTGTATAAAGATGGAAGGAAACATTCACCTGAGATCCCAGTGGGGAAATCAGGCAGGCAAAATGTAACTGCCCAAGCTGGAATTAAGTAAAGGAATGAGACTTAACAGCCTCTCTCTTCTACAAAGAACGTCACTATCTATATAAAACGATCCGCACAAACAATGAGTATGGATGACTTTCAAAAACTGCCATAAGAATTTACCACCGTGGGCACACTGATGACTTGACATCCCTCTAATTATGATAGATGGCGATAAAAAAAGCCTGAGCTGTATGGTATTTATCTATCAACACTTTGGGGGCTTTTTTTTTGTCATCTGGGAAAGTCAGCTGGAAAAGCAGAACTTCTCAAAGCTGTGGTACAAGTGAATCCTAAGCAGCAAAGGCCAGGGTGCCACGTATAGAGTTCAGGTGCATGTCAGGGTACTCAGAGAAGTACAAAGCTTCCCTGGAATGAAGAGATTTCCAGATGGCAAGAAGCTTCCACCATGGCCTGGTAAAGTCTATAACTGGAATATAGTGTACTCTGGCTATTCCCAATGCCCGCACCATTGCATAACGATGGTACCAACCTGCATCAGCACAAATTAGCCCTGAAAAACAGACCTGCATTCTGGTACAGCAGAGCATTTGGGACTTCTCAGACTGAAAATTTCGGAAGTCAGCTTTTCATCTCCTTTTTACTGCACAGTGATATAACGTAACAGAGAAGCTGAGGGGCAGAGACAGCAATAGCTTCTCAAGCATAGAGAAACCATCAGTATTTGGCAAACAGCTGAGTTCATCTCTCTGTTGCTGGACTTGCTTATGTTTGGTGCTTTCACCTCTCATTTTCTTTAGTAGCAAGCAAGACTATTCCATACATCGTGGGACTGACCTGCAGGTGACAGGAATATATGTTATATATTGATATAACATTAGGTGTTTGGTAAATTGTGTTAAAACCTCCCTGTAATAAGGAAACAGTACACTGTGAACTTGCTACTTGCTCCTGAAAAACATCTGCAGGAGAAATGCAGAGAAATAGGTTGTTTGGCAAAAGTGAAAGTTGGGGGGACAGAAAGAAAAGTAATAAATAGACTTACTTAAAACAGCAACAGCTAAGTATCAATATTTAAATTCCTGGCTAAGATTTTATTCTTCCAAATATCTGAAAATGCTTCCTCCAAAATGGAAGTATCCTAGAAGTCCACGATGGACAGTCCTCAGTGATAACTGCATGGGAGCATTGTTCAGGAAGAGCCTTGCACTTGTGTTCCAGTAAAGCTGTTTCCTGGAAGCTTACAATCATTCTGCAGATCTGCAGCTATTCATCATGCATGTTTGCATACACATATGTCCTGCTGGTCACAGCTGTAGCCTTTCACTGCAGGCCTAACTTAGGTGGCAGAGCCAATTTCTCCTCATTACGCTGTTAAAGTGGAGAAGATGCAAAGGGTCACAGCAAGACCAGGAGTGTTACCATTTGCACACTACTGAGGGCAGAAAATGAGGTGTGCAAAACAGATTTTGCACTGCTGCCTACAGTGAAGAGGAAATGGTTCAGTTATAGGTTACCTCTCCAGGATGGACAACTACTGATACACAGTTCAGTTTTCTGGTCACTGAGTGCACCACTTCTCCCTGAGTATTTACTACCAACCCTATGAATCTCAACAGAAAAGGTGGATCATCTTCTAAATTCACAGTTCTGAACGTAGACTACCAGCCAGTATAGGTCTGAATGATAATATTCCAGCTCCAGTAGTCAATGTGATTGCAACCTGATGCCAACTTAAGCATGTATTGAACAATTTTTACGTCAGCTGGAAGCACAGGATCAGTGAGAATCTGCAGATTGTCATTTATAGAAATAATTCTGCTTTCTGAGTCAAACTGCCTGACCTTTCATAGCTCACATCTCAACACTCACATGTCACTACTCTCAACAGTGAGGAAGTTGGCACATTTCAGAGCACATTAGTGCATCATCTCTCAGAGATCTCAGGGATAAAGAGATAAAGATTCCTTCTCATGACTTGCTGCATACCCTCTCCAGCGCTGTGGGGGCATCATTTGGCTCACTATGCTTCAGATTTCCAATCTGCAAAGTGGAATACTACCTTGCTTCACTGGGCACTGTCAAAGAAACCACTCAGCATCATGATGAAAATACGGGATATTTGAGCATATTTGAGGTCTGTTGGACCTTGTGTACTGCAGAAGAGCTCTTCTTTCACCAGGCATCCTTAATTGCTATCGTGCCTATGGCATTTCAACAAAGGTTTTTCTCCCAGTGGTACAGGCAATCGCTTAGAAATAACAGGAGGATTTTTAATTCTGTAGTTTGCTGATCACAATGACTACCAGTAGTTTCAGGAGGGGCCAAGGAATAAAAATCTATTTATCTCTATAAATAGACCTTTGTGCCTATGTCTTCTGGTTCTTCAGAAGACATGGGTGAAGACACACTGGTAAGGCCACAAGAGATGTGCATGCATTACTTGTTTAGTGATTTTTTTTTCTTTCCCAGGGATAATAGTCTGGCACATTTTGCAAGTATCTCATTCCGTACACAGGCATCATAGTTCAAAGACAATGCTACAGGCATATTACCTATTAACATAGTGGCTGAGCATGACCAAGCACACAGTGGAGGGCTTTCAGTCACTTAATGGGAGGGGCAGACACAATTCATTCCATTCTGTTGACTTTACAAGACACACACTCACACCCTGACACTTTGTGGCAAATGTCTTTTAAAAATAAGGTGGAGTTACAGGAAAAGTGCAATCCATCATAGAAGGGCAGCTGTCACCAGAAAATAGCAAGCTGAAGAAAAAATTCCATGTCTTGTTCAGTGCACAGCACTGGAGAGCTGCAGCTTAACAGAAAGTGAGTTTGTTAAGATACCTGGGTCAGGCTTCTTTTTCTTGAATAAATTGCTAATTGATTTCTAACGACTGTAGGGTGTTATGATAACCTTTTTCAAACACAAGTGCTACAAGTATTTTATAATGAAGGGTAGTGTTCTGCAATGAAGTGTATAACCTTTCACAGAGTAACATTCATCAAGAGAACCAGAGTATTCCACAAAATTAAAGGGCAGTAACTTTGGAAATTTTGTGTAGAAGTGCTGTTTTATGTAGCCTACCTGTGGAATTCACTGCCTCAGGAAATGATCTAGCCAAAAGTAATGATCTTGGCCAGTAGCAAGATCTCTGGTTGAAACAAAGGATGGCTAACTATCTAAAATTTAAG